ATCATAGAATATTTAGTGCTCTCTAGCTCTTTCTTTTTACATGCTTGTTAGTAGGCGAGGATATTTATGCCTCAATAGGATTAGTAAGGTAAGGTTAGGCCCAGTATGTGGTTGCTCATGTCCTATGCCTTTGGAAAAATATCCAAATGGCTATGAGATTATATGCCCTCGTGAGACTTTGCCGGTAGATCCATGATCCTCTACATGAGACTGTCATCATAAGGCAATGTAAGGCGCAGAGGAGTGATTATATAGCCAAGGCAACAGGCAACACTACTGGTGCTATTGTCCCCCTTATTTGTACTTTTCCTATGTGTTGCTCTTTTCTTTTCTATTATTAATAAAATAACTACTGGGCACGGCTAGTAGTATAATTTGCCAAAACAAAAAATCATATTCCCTCAAAATCCGCCGCCCTAAAACTCTCCCCCTCTATGAAGAACCCTAATCGCCGCCTCTCTAAACCCCTCTCCTAATCCCTATTCTAATGGGATTCTCCTCTTATTTACATATCATATTTGTGTGTTTCCGCTACTGGTTGATTCTCTATGGTATCACCTAGTACTTGCCTGAACACGACAAGTACTACTTCTCCTATTTTGTCCGATTAATTCCTATCTCTTGAATCTGGACCATATTTCATCTACACGCATTCTATTCTACACTGTGTGAGTTCAATTTTGTTTGTATTTTGCTGATTTACACTTTCCCTAAAAATTAGGGTTTACCAGATTTTCTCTCTTAAATTGATTTCAAATTGATTTGCATGTTTCTTTTCCTTGTTTGTTGTTTAAATTATTCTGTTTTCTTATATGTTTGCTCGATTTTTAACTACTATATAAACCCCCTCATTTTCCCTTCTGGGACGGACTTGGAGAAAATTGATTTATTCACTAAAATTTTGAGGTTTTTGCTACTCTCTCTTGCTTGGTATTCTGTATTTGCCGGCTAAAAACCAAGGCCATTACATATTATTACTTAACCCGTTCTTGGTGCGAGCACTGCCCTGAGTTCATCGAAGCTCTTGGGAACTTTGACGCATTAGGGATTCTGGGTTTTCTGTGAAAACCTATTCTTTGTTGTTCTTCGCTTAACTTGTGAGTCACTATACTTTGCAATTTCATTCCTAGGCATCTATGGTTTGTATACATTTTCATTCCTGAAATTGGTCAGTTCAGTATGTTTTTTGGATTGCTTTTGTGTGTAATTCTACTTGCTTTCCTCAACTCTTTAGGTCTCTTTAGCCTTTAGCTTCAAGCATGCCTAAACCTGGTTC